TATTCGCTTATTAAATTCGTTATTTTTTTCTGATTACAAAAATATAGGGTTCGACAGGTCTATTTCTTATTGTTTTAGAATAAAGCTAAAAATAAACTTTCTTTTTAGTGTTGTCAAAGAAATTAAATTTACAGTTTCCTGTAAATTATAACTAAAAATTTAAAAAAACATATTTCTGATATTTGAAGCAAATACATTTGTTGAACTATTTAATTTATATTTGTTTTACACAAAAGTTGGAATAGATTGCATTATTTCACAATTTTTATTAATATTTAATATTATTATTAAATGACTTAATAAATTATTGATAGATGGCGCTCATGTATATTTTTTTAAATTCAAATAAACATAGCAATATTTGTTTATATTCAAAAATTTTCTGAATTGTCAAATTAAAAATCCTGTTTTTTAAGATGGACTACGAAAATTACGAAAAGTTTAACATGTTAGACTGTTACATATTAGAAAATAAAGTAAATTTTATATATATTTTTAGTAGAATAATTTTTAGTTATAGTCATGGGGTGTTCACTTTAATGAGAGTGTCGAGAACCTGGTTAAAAACTGTGCTATTAGTTGGAGACAGTCCTATGAGATGGCGCATACATCTCAAAGTAGTTAAGGTAGTAAACTTCATTAACGAATATTTGTAAACATCTGATAAACATGAAAAATTTGACATTTGATACTAACCTCAACTAACCTTATATTGTATCAATGTGTATAACTATAAAAATGACTAAATTGTTACATGTAATTCAATATTTGCGTTTATTTAAAGTACGAATTAAAAATTATGTATTATGGTTACATTAATTCACTTATAATTTCACATTCGTTGGTGATAAATGCTTGGGGTCTAAAATCAGCAAAATTTATTCTTTATTATCATTCTTAAAATTTTGAAGGAAGAGTAAAAATTGGGAAAAGAATGCCGAAATATATTTAAGTAAGTAAACAGAATGGTTCTTGAGTGAGATATTTGCCAGATGTTTATACTAGGGGTCTACCTGACCCCTAGTCAGGTAGAAACTTTGGGCACTTTGGGTACACCTGCAAACAAAGATCCCTTACCCTCTCTTAACAAGAAAAGATTTTAAAAGAGAAAATATAAAAATTGTTCATTTCCTATCTGTCTTTGGCTGCAGTTAGTGTTCTTACCAATCCTTTGCGTTTTTTCTTAATATTTTTTTAATAGTTAATAGTTTTTTTTATAGTTAGTAGTTGTTCTTAATAGTTAGTTTTTTTATATTTAGTGTTGTTAATAGTTGAAACATTTTTCTTATTAGTTAATAGTTGTTTTTCTTAATAGTTAGTAGTTTTTTTTTCTTAATAGTTAGTAGTTTTTTTCTTAATAGTTAGTAGTTTTTTTTCTAATAGTTAGTAGTGATTTTATTCCTTTGTTGATTTCCCTGTACCACAGTGAACAAAAATCTTGTTGTTAACCATCGTTGATAATATTGTAAGTATAATTAATATGTAAAAAATATTTATTTAACTCCATTATGAAAATCAAATAATTCAACTTTTGAACAAAAATTGCTTTTTTGGAATTAGATAAAACGTTGTTGCTAATACGTTATCAAAAGCTTTGTTTTACTTACATAATTTGCAAAAAGTTTTGGCAGATATTATGTTCATTCCATAATATTAGGCTTTTCATAACTGATTAGTTAAATAACTATTAACAGCTTTCTAGAGAAATTGTTAAAGAAATTTTCTTTCCATATATAGCACATAACAATGGTACGCTACCGCACGTGCGCTGTTAAAGGTTGTGAAGATA